CATCCATCCATCCATCCATCCATCCATCCATGAATCAAGTAATCTATCCATGCATCCATACATCCATCATTCATCCATGAATCAATCAATCCATCCATCCATCCATCCGTCCGTCCGTCCGTCCGTCCGTCCGTCTGTCCGTCCATCCATCCATCCATCCATCCATCCATCCATCCATCCGCTCTTGTTCCAGAGTCAGGTCTTGGGGGCAGCATCTTGAGCAGGGAGGTCCAGACATCTCTTTCCACAGCCACCTCTTCCAGCTCTTCTGGGAGGACTACAAGGTGTTCCCAGGACAACTGAGAGACATAGACTCTTCAACATGTCCTGGTCTTCACCAGGGTCTCCTTCCAGTTGGACATGCCTGGAACACTTCCTTAGGGAGGCATCCAGGGGACATCTTTACCAGAAGCTTTAACCATCTCAACCAGCTCAGAGTCTCTCCTGATAACTGAACTTCTCACCCTATCTCTAAGGGAGAGTCCAGCTACCCTGCAGAGGAAACTCATTTTGTCTGCCTGTATCCACAGTCTCAATCTTTTGGTCTCTACCCAGAGTTTATGATTGTAGGTGAAGAAAACAGAGACTTCTTCTTGCAACATTTAGCATTTTGCACACTTGTGTAAGAGCTTTTAATTATGACTCTGATGTTAAAACTGCATAGTGGGTGAGAATGATCTTCAGATCAACAATTTAAACCCTGTTATTAGAACCAAACTGTGCAGGGTAAACGTGGTCCAAATTAAGCTGAAGATATCAAAGTCTCCAGGGAAGCTTTGTCTAGACTCAACGTTAAAATGAGTTACTGGATTTTGAATCTGAACAACAATAATTTGTATAAACTAATAAAAGTGGTGTCCGACTTATAGACAACCCTTAAAACCTGAAGGTTTCAGGACTTTGGTCCCTGCAACGTTGTCCAACCAGACAAGAACAATGGCTCGTAGCTTTCAGAGTCCACAAATCTTCTCAAATCGAGGCTCACCCTTTTCCATATACTCAGTAATGATGTAAATGGGCTCCTCCTTGGTGACCACAGCGTTGAGTCGAACCAGTTTGTCGTGCTGCAGGCTCTTCATCAGGTTGGCCTCCATCATGAACGCTTCCACTGACATGCTGCCCTCCTTCATGGTCTTCACCGCCACCTTGGTGTGCTTGTTGTAGGTGGCTTAAAACAAACGAATAAACAAAATTACAATCAGCGGATCGATTTAAGGGTTTGTCATCTGGTCGTTAACTGTATTCAGCAGTGATATGACGCCGTCTCACCCATCCAGACTTCTCCAAACTGGCCGGCACCGAGCCTCTTCTCCAGTTTGAGGGAAGACCTTGGGATTTCCCAGGCGTCTTTCTCCCACGGTTTTTCAGGTTTGGGGCTCAAACAAGGAGTAGTCAGCGACTGGCAAAGGCCATCTCCCTGCTCTGAATATACCAGGTAAATTGTTTTATTTTGTGATTTAAAAACGAGACAAATGCAATCTGTTACTTGGACGATGCTGATGCTTTACAAAGTTGAGATATTAAAGTTGTCCATCAGAGGGTGGCACAAAACAATTTAATGATTGAGCAGAAGTGACAAAATTACAGAGACTTCCTTAAAATGACGGCTCATCGGCAGATTTAGTGTTTTATTTAAACAGACGATAACTCAACAAGAAAGCTACAACACAACCCAGAACAACGGGACCTCCTCAGAATAAACCCTTGTAACTCACTCTTGTAATGGCTGACCAGCTCTTGCAGGGTGCTGAAGGTGATTCGAGGGGAGATGTAGAAACCTCCGTTGTCCAGGGTCCGAATCTTATAATGTTTAACTGTGTCCCCGGCCTGAGGGTCCAGGTCCCTGACGGACAGGGAGTAGCTGCCTGTGGAGGAAGAGGAACAAAACAGTTATTCTATTCAATGGGGGACTTTTGTTGGCAACAGGTCCAGGAGAGAAACCCGGACATCTCCAGATACTGCAAGTTCTTGGTCTCCACATGGAGGCGTGACAGGCAAAATGAAGCATCAGTGGTGGCTTTGACCCCCACACACATCCCCTTGCTGCCTTATCTATGCATAAGTCACACCAAAGTGGACAGAAAGTGTCAAAGTCCCAGAATGAGGTGTCTCGTGAAAGAGCCTTTAATCTGTCCAGCAAGTTCTGGGTCTGCCATGGGGTCTCCTCCTGTATCCAGAGAACCTCAAAAGGGGGGCGTCCAGGATGGAATCCGAATCAGATGAACCAACTCAACGGACTCCTTTAGCTGCAGAGGAGCAGTGGCTCTACTCTGAGCTCCCCATGGATAATGGAGCTCCTCACTTCATCTCTAAGGCAAAGCCCGACCAGCCTGGAGTTCATTTCAGCAGCTTGGATCCAGGATCTGGTTTTTTCAGTCATGATCCAAACCTCCTGACTACAGGTGAGGGCTGAAACATAGACAGACCAGCACTTTTACATGCAAGTGCTATCATTTTCATAGCTAAAGTAACTAAACGTTCCTAAAGATGCTTATTTTTGCAAGGGTTGACCAACGTTAACCAATAAAGATGAGTCACTTTTCTTAGTCCAAACATTAGAAAAAAGGTTCCTACATTCATTTTGGGCAGATACGTAAACACAAGTAACAGGACATAGAATCAAAACTGGGTTAAAGGACACTAGAAAAGCTACTACAGCTAGAATGAATGGGTTAAAATTGTTAGAATGAGTTAAAATGGGTCAATATATAACCAATATATTATAATATAGGTCAAACCATTACAACTATCGTATTCCATTTGTGTCACAATGTTTGTTTTCGCACTTTACGCAATGACGTCTGACGGCAGTACGCTGTAGCACTCGCACAAGATTCACAAAAAACTTCCCCATTAACATCAGTGGGAGTTTGGAGGAACAGGTGACCCAGCCACTTAGACGTGCTTCGCTGTAGAAACATAATTTAAAGTTTAAACCAGACACAGAAAGTTGGACTTCACATGTTGGAACTGGCATTGTGGTACCTTTAATGGTTTTCAAACAATCGCAGTTTAAGGTTTATGATATTTAGAGAGTTTACCACATTGTTCAGCTTAGAGTGTGATGATGTCATACCCTAACTTTTGTTATTGAATCAAGTGTTTACGTATGTAGGTAAACGTAGATGTTTAACAGCCCGTTAAAATACACCTGAATGCAGGAAATAGAATCTACTTGTTAAAAATTTTGAACTCCCAGACCCCCCCACATCACCACCACCACACGCACACACCAGTGTCCCCCACCCACACATTACAAATGCTTCTGATGCCAATGGAATACACATAACACACTCTCGAGCTTCTAGAAATTTCCATTAGTTTCCGGAAGTGAGGACTCATTTGAACTCATCATTTTTACTACATACAACACTGCAGGGACATAAGAGTTCCCACGTGTCACCGTCAGAGTCTTCAGCCGCTCACGTTTCAAGAATTTTTAAGATCCATCTTATAGGTCATGCAGTTTGAGGCTTACTTTTTAGTCTGTTTCTGCCTGCCTCTTTAAGGTTGCAGTCAGATCATGAGGGACTCAGGTGCGTTGTTACCACGGTGACCATAATGAGCCACTCGTAGCAGCTTTGACGTTTCTCTTTCCAACAGTTTTTTGCAGCGGTAGTTATTTTTTGCATTTGTTTTACACACCCTTTGAGGTCTCGCTGTCTCGGATCATGAAGGACCCGACTCGGTTCCCAGGGGCCAGTAGCTGCCTCTCGGCATCTTTCCTGCTCACCCCCTTGAAGAACCACCTAAACAAGAAACATGCGAGTTAGTTGAGAAACTGTTTGCTTTGTTTTGTCGTTTGTAACTCTAAGATTTTAAATGGTGTCAACTCCAAACAAAGACGTAGGATGCATGAGAGAAGCGGAGCGTGCTCTATTCACACAAGGAGAGCTGTTGGTCAGAATACTTCTTGTGCCGAGCTCTCTAAAATAGTTATTGAATCAAGTGTTTACGTATGTAGTATTGTTTAGTGTTTACGTATGTGTGTATGTGCTCGGTTTGTTTTACCAACAAACCGAGCGTTTCATATTTGAGTTCGGATACTTACTCCTCTGCTTCCAGAGTATCTTTAGCTACGTAATTGCTCGGGATGAAGCCTTCCTGACCTGAGCTGATTAACATGGCTTTCCACCACTCGCCTGATCTGAAGTGGAAAAAAAAGTGTAATTAAAAACACAAACATTAAATAGAATTATGACAATGTTTAGCTACACACACCAATCAGCTATAAGCACGTAGTTAAAATTGTTTTGCCGTAAAGTCAAAGCTTTTGCATAGATGCTGTTCTGACCCTTGTCACCCATGCCAACATTTTTTTTGGGGGGAAATGGCTCAAAGAAACCAAGAAAACATTCATGTATATTCTGTATATTTGTACTTTTCAAGTGATCATTTATACTAAAGTCATAGTAGGGTGATCGTAATGTTATGGCTGAGTGGCGTAAGTCCCAGAACCACTTACTCTTCTAAGATTTTGAGCTTATCTCCCTTCTTGAAGCCGAGGTCTCCTTCGTGGATAGCCTCGTAGTCATACAGTGCCATGGCAACACTGTCGCCTATGATGGTAAAACAAAAACAAACAAACAAACAAACAGCTGAAGGAATCTGTTTACTCTGTAGAGTCAAAATACAACTTTTTCTACTTAGAGGACTGAAACTGCCAAAACAAGACCCCAACCGCAAAAAACTCCCAAAACATTTAAAAACAAACAATTACCAAAAAAAAACATTCTGTCGAACCAATTTTTGTCTTTAAACATATTTAATTTATTGTCATTTGACTGTACTTTTATTATAAACTATGTAAATTTTACTTACTGACATTTTCCCTTTAATTTTATTTGCATATCCACTGAGTTATTTAAATAAGTTAAAAAAGACAAGATAAAATAAATAATAATTAAAGAAGGATAAGAACTTATCAACAGAGAACTGGCGAGCTGTTAGCACTCTTTAGCATTAGCAGCTAATATAGCTTGCAGTAGTAACAAGTGGGCTAAAGTAATGGGTACCACCTTCCATATTTGAAAACATAATAGCATTTAATGCCTGAAAAAAGTAGTTTAATTAGTGAAACACAGTCTTTTTTAAGTTTCTGTCTGCTTAAAGAATCGAATAAGAGAAGCAACAGGTCGCCAGCGACAAAGTCATTAGCACATTTAGCTTTAGCGCCTAGGTTAGCTTGTTTTTAGAAGTAAAGCCTAAAGGAGTCTACTGTAAACAGCTTTTTTTTCTTAAGTCCATTAAAACAGTTGTGATTGAGATTATGTGTTTGTTGATTAAAAATATTTTTGTGTTATAGTTTGGAAACAAAAGTTATTGAAAATAGCAATAGCAATCACGCTAGCTGCTAGCACTGCTAGCACTGCTAGCAGTAGTAAATTACTTAACTAGCAGCAATAAAAAAGTTATACTGTGTAACTTTTACTTTTATTTTTTAATAACTCTTCCTCAAAAGCTCTACTGCATGTAGTTTAGATAACAGCTAAACACTGTTTTTCAAAGCTAAAGTTAAAGTTTAAACGAACGCTTAACTTTAGCTACAAGCTAAATTTACTGACTCAAAGGTTGGAGAAACCAAACAAGGCAAGTGAATGCAGTAACAAAGTAATACAGAATTCGATGAATCTATACATAAAACTGTAAATATGTGAATTATATGTTTACTTTTGTTGCGTTCCTTTTTCAAAAACTAGCTTCGCAAATCAGAAGTTATAAAAAAAGAAAATTCCTGCTGTGCAGCTACATAAAGAGCTCATCAGGCTGCTTTTGACACGGGTTTAATTAAAAAATACACAGTAAAAAATATGCGCAAGTGAATAAATTAAAATAGATAAAGTGGGAATGAACAAATACAGCTACAGGAATAAAAAAATAAAATTTTATTTGCATTTGTTGGAATTTTAAGGCGTTCAGTTTTGATTTTGGCATCTTCAGTGTTCCGTACTTTTGCACTTTGCTCTGAAAAAGCAGAATAAACATTTTAAAAACTCATTGCTGCTATCAGGTTATCAGACCGTGTCGATTCTGGGAACGCCACGTGTTTGTTTACCGACATCGGGTTCCCCTTCTTTCGACTTGGGCTGACTTCCTCACACGTTTGACATTGATAGCAGCCGGGCTGAACTATTTTAATAATTCTTTTTGTATATGAGGTCTGTGTGTTTCGCTCTGCACCGACTCTCCTTCCTCTTTTACACTTGAAGACAAAGTGTGACTGCGTTTAAAAAGCACTGTCCTGAAAAAAGAGGCTCTTGTTGACAGATTTTGTGGTGAAGCCGTATAAAAGCTTAAATTAGATAAAAGTAAAAATAACACTGGGTTGCAGTAAATAAACTCACCTTCTGAAGAAGCTGCGTTGGATTGCATTTTGGCCTGTAGAGAGATAAAATAGTTTATTTTAAGTGGATGCATATTCCCATTGAGGTGAAAAAAACTATATTTGTTATAACTCCTAACAACAAAATCATGTTGCTTTATTTTAACATTCACATATGAGCTCATCTTTTTGACCACATCATATTTAAACTTTTTATTATTTACTTAGCTTTCCTGTCACCAGCTAAAAATATTTACTTCTTCACGAGTTTAACTTTATTTAGTTGCTAACTTTGATTTTTAGCAGTTTCGCTAAAAAAAAAGAAGTAAAAGTAGGAAATTTTCTGCTCGTCTGACTCAAACTACAACAAATTAAACATTAAATTACAAAATACAGCATTGTGACAGGATCTCATGTTGCTTTTGTTTTTCTATGAACGGAAATTATATAAATTTGTGAATAGCTGTGATCAATCAAAAGTGACTGAAAACAGCTAGACAACCGTGATGTTTGCGAAAAAAACATTTAGGATAAAAAAATGTCAGATCGTTTTGGCGTATTGGCACTAACGCTGGGATTTTAACACATTAATTGCAATAAACCATTACAGAAAAAAATAGCTTTTTAAAAACTAAATTAATCACATTAATGCTGCTGCTCACACTCCAGCCCAGTAGGTGGCGCTAAAGCTCCTAAAGTTAATTTGTTTTGCACAAAGAGCTGAAGACTTTGGGTCGGTTTACCTTTTCAGTTATTCATGCGAGCGCAAAGTCAGTATTTTGCGACGCGTTGTGGTTTAGATAGATTCATGCCTACTTACATTTTTTTAACATATAATCTATTTTTATTTATTTGTGTAAATTTGTGAAAAAAATATTAGCAATTATAAGGAGGCTTAATGTTTCGTCTTTGTGTTCAGTATATTTTTATAGTGTTTCCCTTACAATTATACAAGGAGGGCGCCCCGCCCTGTCAACAGAACCGAGCGCCCTGCCTACTGAACTTGCCCCCCCCCCCCACATCGACAACTGCATGCACTGATGTAGCGCTAAGCTAGCGGTGCGCAATACAGCGTCTCCCGCCCCCCACCCCCTCAACAACTGTCGGCACAAACAGCACACAAAACAGAGGTGCCCCCGCCCCCCCCCCAAGATATGAGCGCCCTGCCAAGGCAAGTAACCGGGGAAAATATTCTACCGTAGATACCGGAAGTAGCTAGGAATGTTTTTGGTCACAGGAAGCCTGACTTTACAAATACGCATTCATATCCATAAAAAACAAACAAACAAACAAAAACAACAACAATGGAGGAAGAAAACACTTTGCTTTGTTGGGCGGGACACCAAATAATAAACAAAAAAACGATGGCAGCGTGAAAAGGAATAAAAGTTGTTTGTAAATTGTGCTGGAAGGAATTATTGTGTCCCTGCAGCTTAAAGTATTTAAATGCAAAACGCGTATACGCTAGCACTAACACAGAAGCTAATGCTAATGCTAGCTACAAGTGGACGGTCCAACCAGGTCCAACTGGGTCCAACTGGGTCCAACAAGGTCCAACCGGGTCCAACCGGGTCCAACTGGTCCACAGGAAACAAAATGGTGAAGTTCAGAGCTGAACCAAGTCAGTCCACGTCTGAGAAAAGACCCGACTCTCTGGTGAAGTGGATTGTTGTGGACTGTGGCTTTATAATAACATTAATGGAACTTTTTAAATTAATTATCATCATTATTATAAATATACAATAATTCCATTTGCACCGTGAGCTTGAGCTTCTCTGTAGATGACGTCCTAAAATATTTGGGGTTATAGGATTAATTTTTTGTTGTTGTTCAGCTACGCCTAATCGTTGATTTAGCCATTAACAGTAATTTATAAGAATTATAAATCTTTGCTTATTGTTTTAAATATTACTATGTGATAAAAATGCAATTAAAAAGTCAATTAACTGTTTTAATTGTGTCCCAGCTGTAATTAGTTTGTATTTACAGTCAGATTTGTTGAGTAAATTATGCAGATTGTTTACATTGAGCGCGTACCTGCATTTCAGAATCACGTGTTTAGAAAACTACAGGAGCAAACTTTTCAAACTTCACTGACTTATAACGTTCAGGATCAACTTTTTTATGTTTAACTTTATCGTTTGTGATGAGCACCTTTAATATTACCATTAATGTGTTTTAATTTTTTATTTTAAAAGACTAAACCAGGGCTATTCAACTAAACTGCTCAGGGGGCCACAGTTACTGGAAGCCAAGAGCTCAGGGGCCGGACATCCAGCAGTTATCATCATTAAGTAAGTTTGTTTTATTGTATAAAATCTAGTTTTATTAAAAAATGAACCCAATGGTGGACCGAACTGAGTTCATCTGTTGGCCTGATTTGGCCCCCGGGCCACCAGTTGGACTCAACTGAAGAACATTAACCCTCCTGCTGCCTTTGGGCCAAAAAGACCCTTTAAAATCGATTTAAAAAACAACATTTTAAATGAATTAAAGGAGGAGGTTAAGGTGTTGGATCAAATTTTACCAGCTGCACCTGTTGTGATGTTTTTTTATGTTTTGAACGTTTATTTGGTCTTAAAATAGAAAACAGTTTAGAAGCGGCGCTGTCAGAAAGGGCAACGTGTGCCTGAAGTGCTGTTTGACATCCTGTTCTGCTTCTCTCACTTCCTCTTTCTTCTCTCAGGGTTAGCGAGATGTTACAGGCAACGCACAGGAAGCAGTAGCCGAAGGAACCGCAGAACTGCAGCTACTTTAGCTCGACCACAGGTCAAAGTCTGGCCTGTGTGCAGTCACACAGAGCTGCTCGGTTCAGAGCGCAGAAAAACTGTTGATCACTCCTGGCTCAAAGTGGGGGCGGTAAATGAGTGGGTTTTTTTTTTAATCTTTTGTTTCACAGTTTCTGCATTTGAAGCTAAAACCCTTCCTCATTTCTCAAACAAAAGGCTGTGAACTTCTGCAGCGGCTTTACCAAAGCACAGAAAGAACTCCTGTTACAAAATGATCTGATGCGTTTGAAGCTTTTAACTCTTTCATGTCAGGTTCTTTGGATTTTTTTGTTTTGTTATAAATTAAATATTTTTTTATATTATATTTTAAAAACACTGAACGTGACAAAAATAAATAAACTTCTGCCCCAACAGGACATTAATAAATAAATAAACACAAAAATCTAAATTTTTTAAAAACCAAGATAAAAAAAACAAAACTGGAGAAAATATTTTCTGTGGAAACAGATTAAAGCACGAAAGCCAAAATTTATTAAAGAAGCTGATATTAAGAGTTTAGTCCAAACAGTAGCTGAATGAAAGAAAATGGCAACTCATAGCTAAAACTAGCTAACATTAGCTAAAGGCTATCTAAAGCTTACATCTAGCAAAAGACAATTTAAAGGCTAAAAGTAGCAAAAGGGTGTAAAAGGGTAGGTAAGAGCTAAAAGTGGGGAAGGGCTAGCTGAACAATAAAAGTAGCAAAATATTAAAAAAATAGATATGGACAATGTAAACATATGTGTAAACTGGCTAAAAGCTAATGTAGCCAGCTAAAAAATAACTAACTTACTTCCTGACTAGGTTAAAAGTGGCAAACGGGCAGCTGAAGGCTAAAAGTGGCAAAAGGCTATCTAATGGCTAAAGGTGGCAAAAGGGTAGCTAAAGGCTAAAAGTGGCAAGAGGCTATCTAATGGCTAAAAATGGCAAAAGTCTATCTAATGGCTAAATGTGGCAAAAGGGTAGCTAATGGC